AGAGAGAGAGAGAAAGAGAGTGAGGGATAGGGGTTGGGGGAGGGCGAATGTCAGGCCGGAAGTTGGGCCCCAACTCTATGAACAGGCCGCCATCATGAAGCGCCGACGATGTAATTAAAGCAGCAGAAGAAAAGAATTCTCAAGGCAGCGCTTAGCACGAACACAAAAAAAAAATCAATCAAATCAATGGGCCAGAGCATGATCGATAACTAATCAGTTATGGCTGGCTCGAGAGGGAAGCCTTCTACCTGATTATTTTAGTAATAACCACCCTCCTTGACCAGCTCCCTAATCCCCGGCCAGGAAATCCTCTTAGGCAAACTCTCGTGCGTGTGTGCAGACGACTTGAGGTTTCTCTGGCGCGGCTCTGGCAGACGAAAAGAGTTGGGGGGTTTTCTTCCCACCCTCTTCCGTAAGTCTTATGCTCGACTTGTGTTGTGCCAAGGCTGTAATTATTTATTTCTTTATCTATCTCTCTCTCTCTCTCTCTCTCTCTCTCTCTCTCTCTCTCTCTCTCTCTCTCTCTCTCTCTCTCTCTCTCTCTCTCTCTCTCTCTCTCCCCCTCTCTCTCTCCTCTCCTGCCCCTCGTCCATTATTGTTCGTGCCGACTTGCTATAAACGTCAACTGAACGACTCAACTCCACCTCTTGGTAGTGTTGTGTGACTTTAGTCGGTGGAGAGACACTTTACCATCGCCTGTGTTTAGACGCGGTGCAGACGACAAGGAGTTTGTGACGTCATCTCTCGTTCCGTGTCTTTATATTTGCGGTGCTATTAGCCTAGTGTGAGTCGTTTGAGTGTGTGATTATTTTTTTAATAATTATTTGCGATGAAGGCTTTTGATTGTTATACAGCGGTGTCTGTGGTATAAATGATGATACCTTTCACCTTTCGCTCTTAGAATGATTTTTTTAAAAAAAAGTTTTAGTAAAAGTTTTACGGTACTCCCGACACTATTGTGTCATACGAGCCCCGACGATTCATGGATTAGAAGATTATAGTAACATACAAATAAAAGGGAGGGAGATTAAAGACAATAGCTGTTCAATGGGACAGAAGAACCCACCTCACCAGAGCACCCGCCAACCTCCCACACACGGTGAAGGTTCTGAGGATGCGAGTTCGAGTCTTCTGTACTGCTGAATAACTATAACTTTCTCTACCTGTTTGGGACACCCTAACTTGTATCGTATTTAAACCTACACCCACCCCCTCCCACCCCTCATTTCCGGTGTTATTGTGTTCAGCGCCTGCTTTTTCCTCCCAGAGTGAACGGTCGCAAAGGTTGGAGAGCAGGGAG